TAAGTAGTTGGACTGAAGGCAGCAGTATCCTCATGTACAAGTCTCAATATTAATGCGTTCTGCCCCATTTATCGTACCCTACCCTACCCAAACGCTAAAAGCAGACGCTGTCATTTAATTACTTCTTTCATTCCCTTTAGTCTTCCGCGAAGTGAGCCGAACCCTCGCAGCTGTGCCGTGCAGCGGCAGAATGTCGGTGAAACACGCGTGTCTGGGCTCTTAACTAGTACCTGCTTTGCCGCTATGGCAAATCATTACATAAGTTATACTACTGCCTGCCTAAGGACAGCTTGTGAAAATTACGCGGTTATTCCACAGTGGCTGATGGACTTGGGCACAAATACTGACATCATATTTCGGCCTGAGTCTGTAGACCCTTGAATATACTGCTATACTCGAAGTCTACAAATCAATTTCTGGGAAAATTAAAAAGCTACAATGCGGGAGTGTATGTGGGAGGTTATTTTCACCAATGTGGTCTTTCTGCAGGAGGAAATACGGACTTTCAGTTTGCGTTTGGTCCCAATTCTGAGGTCTCAGGCTGCACGGATGAACTTTCCTCACAGCAGACAGACTAGTCCCTTATGATGTCGCAGAGGGATTTACAAACTGTGACTACATGCACGACGTTTCTAAAATTTAATTTAGTGTGATACTCTTCAGAAACCTTAACACATGAAAAGGTATCAACTAGGCCAGCATGCTTTTAGAAACTCACAAAAGGTAATCATTGAAATACAAACTTTGCAATTTTACGGATTTGAGAAAAGGATAGTTGCGAGGGTGAAGAAGAAGGTACGCCTTTCGGGGTGCTGTTCGTGAAACACACACAAATTTCTTTAGAATGTTTACGAAATGAATATTAAACCAAGCAACTATTTCTATTCAGTGTTGTCCACTTATTGTGGGACTGGTTCTCTCAAATCCTAGAATTCCGTCTTGGGTCGTGACTTGTAGTAACGTTCCAAGGCAGGCCTGTCCTTGAAGACGTTGTTCCTCAATGTCGCCATGCGTTCCTTCGCTTCGTGCTGAAGATCCGGGTAAGCCGCGTTTACCAAGTCCTGCAGGATCAGGAGGTCCAAGTCGGCAATGGTCAGATGGTTGCCGCCAATAAACGGCCCAGTCATCTCCTTCATGAACTCTAAAATTGACTTTTTGATAAAAAGGAAGCGGAAAACAAGTATAAAATTGGTTGTTTCAAACGTTCAGTTCGAATGGCGGAATAGGCAAAATCAGTGACTTTGTGGCTTGTCAACAAAG